TTTATTTTGCTCACTTGGGCAACATGTTTCTGTGTCTTACTTTCTTAGTATTATAATCTATAATGGAACGTTTCTATTAGTTTCCTAATGATATCTCCTGCTGACAAACCTTTCACTTGATGTTTTTTCAATAAAGGATATAAAGACTGTTATACTTTGATATTAGATAATATAAAAATTAAAAGCCGATGTTTTGAAGTTTCTGTCATAGTTAAATGGTATAACAAAAAGTAGTGTGGCATGAAATTCTAATCAACAGAAGAAGAAATGCCAGACAGTGCTTTATATTGGCTTGTTAGAAGGTCAAATTCTCCGATATTTCATATTCTTCCACTTTCTACAGTGCTAATTTTTTTTAGATTGTTAGGCCGATCCCTTTCCAAAAGATTAGAGTCCTTTATCGGGAATTACATATCAAGTAAAAATAAAAAGAAAAAAAATATGGGATGAAAGAGTAAAAAGGAAAAAAATATGGGATGAAAGATTAAAAAGAAAAAAAATGAGCGAAGAAAATTATTTATGATAAATGATTTATTGAATAAATGGAAAAAACATGGATCTTCGTTTGATCATTAAATTAAATAACAATTGAAAACCAAAAGTAAGTAATTATTCTTCTTAATTTTTAAATTATTTTTTATCTTTTATACCAAATATAATAAAAAATAATTTTCTTTGATCTCCTAATTTTTTTTTTTTTACTTTACTCACTTGTTTTTTCTTTATTTTTCACATAGTGTAAAACAAAATCCCCAATATGAAGATTGCACCTTCTGATTTTATGAGGTGAACAAATTAGTACAACCAAATGAATTATAATGATTGAAGCAAGAGCTGATGAGCGATTCATCCGCATCAGCCGAGGAATGTCCTTAGAAAGTGCCATCCCAATTACTACATGACTAATAGAGCCCAAGTGTTTCATGTATGATTGAATGTTTCTAACACTCTAAGCCCATGTAAATTGACTTCGGTCCATATTCAATGCCGAATCAAAGTACGCTGAGACCACAGTGACATTGCAAATGCCTAGCCAGGCAACAGTGGCCCAACTTTCAAAAACACTACCCCTGCCCCCTCCTACCTTTCTCTGCAAGCAAAGCATCTTTCCATTTGTTAAGTTTGATTAATGTCAACAATGCAAAATTTATAAATTTAAGGAAAAAAAAGGATATTCCGAGAAAAAGTACTTTTTGTCTGGGGGAGGGGCCACCGTCCCTTATATGTCATTAAACCGCATTCTTACTGCCAAGCTGGCAAGCCGAAGTACACGCGGCCTTTTTGTACTGGCTAAAGAGAGTTGGGAATGCAGTGGACTCGACGTGGCAGAGAATCTACACGCAAATTATTTGAAGCGTTTAAGAAAAGAAAACCGGACCCAAGAGTAAAATTAAATTCCTTTAATTGACGAAGCTGTGGCAAATTCGGAAAATATAAATGCTCCATCCAAAGGGAAGGATCAAATGAAAGGGAGAGAGAAAAGAAAACCGAGAGTTGTTGGTCGGGATCCGGCGAAGTTCGTCGGATTTCGCCCATTTGTCATCGGAGCTTTGAAAGAAATACACACTATCTAAATTTTTAATAGCAGAAATTGAAACGAATAGGAAAATGAAGGGATCTGTACCTTTTGTTGCGACTCTGCTCGCTGCTTCCACGGTGGCTCTCACATCATCTTCCTCCGCTGGAATCCACGATGTTTCGTTTTCTCCTACCTCCTCTAACCAGGTATTCTAAGTTTCGTTTTTTAAAAAAATTTCTCATTCAAAATTTAAAACTTTGCTTATATGTTTCCTTTTCGTAACAAATTTAAGTGAATGTTTCGGCTTCGCTTCGAATTATTTAACTGAATCTCGTTTACAATGTCCAATGAGTCTTTTTTTTAAATACAATAAATGTCAATTTGAAATTTTGATTGCTTCAATCTATTCATTTGAGTTGCTTGATTTTGGATCTAGATTTGCCTATTGTTTTAAATTTCCCCCCTTTGATTCGTTGATTGAGTTTCTAATTCGTTTTTATCCTTCCTTTTTTTTTTACTCTTTTATTCGATTTGACTTTCAGTTTTTCTTTATATGATATGATTAATTGTGCCTTTTATTTGTTAAAGTATTTTTTTTCCCCAAAGCTATGGATTAATATATTAAAATCTACGATTTTGAAAAAGGTTTTTTTTTTAATTTCTAGTTCCCGAGTCCTGACATTGTACATGGATTGTTTAGGGGGCAAAAAACGGTGCGTCAAGGAACTGTACGGCATCGGAACAGGAGAAATTCGCGCCACGATTTGATGGGTTGAGATTCATAGAGACATTGGTCACAGCTCACAGATAAGAGAGAATTAGAAACACAAAACGCCGTCCTTTGTCTCCGTTATTCATTTTCTTATTCTTTAAAAGGCCGCTCTAAACCATACCCCCTTCATTCTTAACCAAAAAAATGTTGGTTGTTAATTTAATTGTTACTATATGAATATGACGTGAAATTATAGTGCCGTTCTTTAGGTTTTGTTTTATCATTCCATGTCGTTTGCTTACCCTTGTTATTATTTCTGCTGATTGATTTTGATGGTGAAATTAGAAACTCCAATTCCTGAGGGTTAGAACCATTTTTTAAAAATATTTTTTTGGTTGTTTTAGAGCGTGGAAATAATAAATTTATAATGATAAAAAATTTGACAAGTATTATAATTTTTATCTTGAAGAAATCAGCAAGGTTATGGTCACGGGTGCATCGTGCATGTTGGTCTATTGCTTAGGTTTTCTCCCATCTTTCCTGGTTATTAGCTATCGTTTGTTTTTGTATTACTACTTGTCAATGCATTAACTTGGAAGTTAGAACAAAAAATATTATTAGTATTTGTAGTTGTAAGTAAAAAAAAAGGTTCGAAATTTCTGAAGTAATTCTACTATTTAATCAATGATTAATCAACCCAAGTTCCCATTTTGAAGGTTTTCCGTATGAATTTTTGGACCGGGGGTTAGTTTAAAATGATGGGATGAGAGAAGTACTTTATCTCTTGTTATGTAACCTATGTTTAATGGAGATTTAGAGAAAAAAATTTTTGCTTAATCAAATCAATAATTGTTTTGAAAAGATTCATAATCACAAAAATTAATTCAATTGACACACAGATAATTAAGTTTTTTAATTTAACAAATGTAGTTAATAGAGTGATATATATATATTAATGTATATTTTAAAAAGTAAAAAAATTAATTTTAAAAAATATATTACTTGTTAATTTTTTTATAAAATTAAAATTTTTATAGACAGTATATCAAATAATTTTACATCAACAATTAATTTTGAAATTTTTTAGGGTTAAGTTTAATGGGTTTTTATTTAAATTAAAAATTATTAAGCCAAAACCAAAGAATCATTGTCAAGGGAAGGCAATGAGCAGGACAGGATTAGAAAACGATGGTGAAGAATGCGGGATGTTCCAAGCTGACAATGGGAATATACTGGTTTGGTGCATCCTCTGGGAACGGTAGGCGCAGCCTACTACTGCATCGGTAATTCAACTTGAAAGTGGTTTCTTTTATGCAAAGGCACAAAGCATTTCATGACACTTGTGCGGTGAAATTATAAGCCATAGGGTGGCTGATTTTGGCTTGATGGTGAAGGCCATCGGCCTCAATAGAAATGTAAGCAACTAAACTTTAGATTTTTTTCGGTCGGTAAAACATGCCACTCCATTTGTTTAACAACTGTCTTTCTATAGATCAACGGCTATGATCACATTTAAAAAAATCACCATTTATTTCATAAAATCATCATGTTGCGGTCCTGTAACAGCAGGACTTTGACCTATTAAAATCTTCTCAGCAATCGGATTTTCGTTTCTTCTTTTTTTTTCTTCTAAGCAATTGGATTTCTATTTCTTTTTTCTATTTAAAATTTTTGGCCACAAGAAGAAATTATAGCTGGGATTTTCTTAACATAATAGTTACATTTTAGCCTCACATGAAGATATAGTTCCATAGGTGGTTCTGCGAGGCATTAGAGAGGTAGTGGCTGGGTTCCATTCTTGTAAGAGCAAAAGGTGATGAAAGGTACATGCCTGCTTTCTTGAACAAACAAATCCTGGCCAGAAAAAAAATGTAGTTAGTGTATAAATATTTAAGCTAGAGGCCCTCTTCTTTTTTATTAAAATATTTACTGTAAAAAAAAAAAAAAATGTGATTTTAAATCATGATATATATATTTTATTTAAAATAATTTATTATTAAAATTAAAACTTTAATATTCTATTAATAATTACAAGATTATTAACCTAAAATTGACGTACCAAAATACGAAATAAAAACAAATATGTAAATTACAAGGGCAGTGCATAATTTTCTTGAACTTGGCTGGCATTGCAGCTGTAATTTCCTCTTTGAAAGATACACAAATTTATTACAAATTAAAATCTTATTTTTTAAGCAAAACAAGAAAAAGAAAATCTAGACTTCAATTCATCCAAAATTATGGTATTCTACGTTTACACTTTTCTAATTCCCGAGTGATAAAATACAAATCCAATAATTTAAATCAACAATTCTGCATACCTTAATACTAAAAGCTTATTCCAAAACATTCATCATTTTTTTTTTTTGTGGATTTAAAATTCGAGATAAATAAATTTTTTAATTTTTAAATTAAAATAAAATATATCATATCTGATAATTTAAGACAAATGATTGTTATTTGATTTTTATTATTATTGCGCTAAATTTTAAATACATTTCTTATAATATATGATATTAGTTAGATCTAGTATTTGATATATTTATGTTATATAAAATATTAATAATTTATATATTTATATTATATTTTATATAAAAATAATATATTAAAATTTTATTGATATAAAAATATAAAATATATATTTTTTATTTTATTAAAATTTTAAATAAAAATTTTATATTTTACTATATTTTATATCGTATCGTATTTATTTGAGATTATAAAATTTAATATTAATAACTTTTGTATGGGATTTTTGAAGTGTCATAATTGATAATGATTTTCTTTCTTAAATACAAACGAGAATTGTGGCTGCATTTTCCTTAACAACTTCATCGAAATTCTAGTAAAATGTTATTGTGTCCATAAATGGAGTCGGTGGCAGGAGGAAACCAAAAAGCCAAGAACATCGAAATTCCCAACCTCCCATGGGGAAAGGCCAAGATATCTCCATGGGAAAAATAAATATCTTCCACAGCACATGCATTGCTGATAAATCATCATGTTTGGAAATTATTACCTGCGGGCCCCATTACAAACGCAAGTACATTCCCTTGGCTTCTACACCGTCAATTAATTTAAAAAAAAAATAATAATTCAAAGTACTAAATTGTAAAAATCTCAGCGAAAGCAAGATGCAAGTCTTTCAAGAAGAAATAGACAATTTGTTGGACGCTGAACCAAAAGATTACGTTACGCGGTGTCGTTTTCCCTCCACTTGGACCACACTGATCAAACGTGAACAAAATCAAAGAAAAATATCTTCTTTTAAGCTCACATTTCTAAGACTGAAGAATCACCGCTAATTTCCAGCATATCCCATTCCTACGATGTTAAGGGCCCCACTTTATACGTGCGAAGCAGATCTTGAGGTGCTTAGACAGTGGATGGAGGTCCACCATTCTCTCTGAAGCCACGTGTTGTACCAGTCAGCGATGCAATCAGTACAAATTAGCAGATCCTCCGTGAAATTATGTGACCACTTCTACTCCCAAGTACTAACCAAACTCAACGACGTACGCTCAACAAGGATTCTGTGATTCTTAAAGTTCTGGTGAGTTTAGCTTGCATATCTTTTCTATCTGATTTTGAGAGATTCAGTGACTCAGTTACGTAGGTTTCTGTTTCATTGATCATCGTACGATTCAAATTTGAGACATTTTCCAGTTGTTGTTACGTTTTTTTTAAACTATTATATAAAAATATTAAAATGTTTGATTCAATCTTTTTAATTAAAGGGTTTTCCATTTTTTTTTCTCTGGTATCAGCTTTTTTTGAAAGTATCGGAGCCAATGGCAACAGTGACAGCTTCGCACTTTGTTACAAGGAGTTCACATGTCAACAGCCATGGAGCAGAAACTAAGGCCAATCTGGCACAGACTGGCATGAGGAACCAATCCATGACTCACAGTGGTTTGAGGTCATTGAACAAGATAGATAGGTTACAGATGAGAGTCAATGCAAAGGCTGTTGTCAGGAATGCTGTGAAAGAGGGACACCCAACTGCAAATGACAGGCCTTCCGCGAAAATTGTTTGCGGAAAAGGGATGAATCTAGTCTTTGTAGGAGCTGAGGTTGCCCCATGGAGCAAAACTGGTGGACTTGGTGATGTCCTTGGTGGACTTCCTCCTGCAATGGCTGTAAGTAGAGATTTACGAGCAAATTTTTCTTTTTTTCTAAAAACTGGTAGACGTGTTACATATTTTGCCGCATATATAATTTTGGTTTAATTTTCCCAGTGAAGTATGAGATTCTAATCCCTATCCCTTGATATTGAGTAGGCCAAAGGACACCGTGTTATGACAGTGTCTCCTCGCTACGATCAGTACAAGGATGCATGGGACACCAGTGTCTTAGTTGAGGTAAGGTTCCCGATCCTGTTATGTTCAGGAAAAATCATATTTTGAATCGAAGTGAGTTGTGTTTGGATTTTATTTTTAAAGATCAGCTCCTAATATGCAGCTAAAAGTCGGGGACAAAATTGTGACTGTTCGGTTGTTCCACTGCTACAAACGTGGAGTTGATCGCGTCTTTGTTGATCACCCTATGTTCCTTGAGAAGGTTTAGAACTGTCATTTTTCTTGTTTTATTTTTTCTTTATTAAAGATTCAATTAGTTATGTTCTTATTTCCCCTTATTTTTTTCTTCTTCTTTTTCCTTATTTTCACTATTTTGATGATTCAGGTGTGGGGCAAAACAGGATCCAAAATCTATGGCCCTAGGACAGGTTTGGACTACAAGGACAATCAATCCCGATTTAGCTTGTTATGCCTGGTAAAAAAATCTCAAGTGTTTTCAAAAAATTCAGAGATCATACTGACTTGTTTTTTCCCATAAGATCTACCTTTTGTAATTGTAACCCCTTCATAGAAATAATTGAAAACTGCAAAGCTGGCGTTTGTGAAAGGTTAGGTAATAATTATATGACAAAACAGAATTCCTCTGTAGCTGCAACGATTATAAAGGTTGAAGGATAGTTTTTCTTTGTTACATCCAGTTTAAACTCATGGGATGTCAGTTAAACCTTTTAATTTTAGCTGTTTGAACCGAAACAAGCTGATAAATGTTTTGGCTTGTGTCCTTGTTTTGAACTTCTTAAGATCAGCCTAGTATAAGATGTTTCATGTGAATAACACTAATCGGTTACTATTGCTCTACAAACTGCTCTGTTGCTTGTTTGACGACTATTGAGGTAACTGAAATTTTACTTGGGTTCTTAAATTGTAAAAAACAATTCGCAGTATTTCATGTTAATTCACATAATTCCCATCTTACTGCCGGTTCGAGTTATGGCCTAGTTGTTGATCGAAATCATAGTTGCACTTTTTAAGTCACTGTTATCTCAGTGAAGTTAAATTAATAAACTTGTTCGTTTGCAGGCTGCTTTGGAGGCCGCAAGAGTTCTGAATTTAAATTGCAGCAAATATTTCTCAGGACCATATGGTATGATTCTTCCTCTTAAGTCTTAACCTTTAAAGTTAACTCTTTTGTCATGAAATGATTCTTCAACATCTTCTGCAGGGGAAGATGTTATCTTCATTGCCAACGATTGGCACACTGCTCTTCTTCCATGCTATTTGAAAAGCATGTACCAATCAAGGGGCATCTACATGAATGCCAAGGTATGGTGGCCTCTTTTTGAAGTGAATCAGCGTTCTGGCTAATTTGGACTTGCAGAAGCTTGAAACTTACAGTGTGCTTGATAAATATTGCAGGTTGCCTTTTGCATCCACAACATAGCCTATCAGGGAAGATTTGCCTTTGCAGATTTCTCATTTCTCAATTTGCCTGATAGTTTCAAGAGTTCATTTGACTTCATTGATGGGTATAAAACAATATTTCTGTTGATATTTTTTTCCCTAACTAGGAATCTAGGCTTCATATTATTTTGATGAATTATTTTCTTTAGCCAAGGACTTCATTGATGGGTTTTGATTGTCAGGTACAACAAACCTGTCAAGGGAAGGAAAATTAATTGGATGAAGGCTGGAATTTTAGAATCACACAGGGTCTTGACTGTAAGTCCATACTATGCCCAGGAGCTTGTTTCTGGTGAAGATAAAGGTGTTGAACTTGATAACATCATTCGTAAAACTGGCATAACTGGCATTGTGAATGGCATGGATGTTCAAGAATGGAATCCTGCTGCTGACAAATACATCAGTGTCAAATATGATGCTACAACTGTAAGTTCTTTCTATAATTTCCAATTTCTTGGTTGTTTGTGGTATTAGAAGACATGTTTTTTGATAAGAGCCATTGCAGGTAATGGATGCAAAGCCATTATTAAAGGAAGCTCTTCAAGCAGAAGTCGGGTTGCCTTGTGACAGGGATGTTCCAGTGATTGGCTTCATTGGTAGGCTAGAAGAGCAGAAAGGTTCAGATATTTTGGCAGTGGCTATTCCAAAATTCATTGGAGAAACTTGTCAGATTGTAGTCCTTGTTAGTGTCAAATTTTAAAATGTTTCCTTCCTTCTCTGGTTGTTAATGTTTGCTTCAATGAGTATAGTATTAATAATGGGATCTATCTTCCTTTCAGGGAACCGGTAAAAAGGCCATGGAGAAGCAGATTGAGCAGCTAGAGATCCAATATCCTGACAAGGCTAGAGGAGTAGCCAAATTCAATATTCCATTGGCCCATATGATTATTGCTGGTGCTGATTACATTTTGATCCCTAGTAGATTTGAACCATGTGGTCTCATTCAGCTGCATGCTATGCGATATGGAACAGTTAATCCTTTTGACCATTCATTTTCTGCAACCAACTAATTTGACTTCATGAATTTGCACAAGTACTTGGTTATATATATCTTGTTCTCATGGTACTGAGTCGATTAACCGCATAAACTATTTGTTCTGTGCTACAGGTGCCAATAGTTTCCTCTACTGGTGGACTCGTTGACACTGTCAAGGAAGGATTCACAGGGTTCCAAATGGGAGCCTTCAGTGTTGACGTAAGTAGTAAAAATGATTGGCTTCATATGAAGTGCAATGTATGACTTATATTTACATTTTTCTATTCTACCTATTACATGAAGACCATTCATCTCCATGGGATGTTTTTGCAGTGTGATGCAGTGGATCCAAGTGACGTAGATAAGGTGGCAAGAACTGTCAAGAGAGCTCTTGCAACATATGGCACTGGAGCCCTGAAAGAAATGATCGAGAATTGTATGGCACAAGATCTTTCATGGAAGGTTAGTGTCTCATTGAGCATGTAGGAAGCTTTTCATTCTTGCGGTCCACTTGGTGGATAGTGGTTGCACCCAATTGAGAGCTTTAGGAAGAATGAATTCAAATTAAATGTTTAAATGCAAATCTGTTGATTTATGCAGGGACCATCAAAGTTGTGGGAGAAGTTGTTGTTGAGCCTAGAGGTCGCTGGCAGTGAACCTGGTATCGAAGGAGAGGAGACTGCTCCTCTTGCCAAGGAAAATGTCGCCACTCCCTGAGCTCGGAGTCTAATAATTTTTGAATGTTCCAATATTGACTTCAGTAAGCAAATGCAACTAAGTATCTGTCAACTGTCGACAGCCATTTGCGTTGTAGTCAATGCTGTTTTTGAGGGTGAAAGCTTAAAGAATGGTAGGAGCTTGAATAAATATATAGTATTATAGTATCTAATAGGTGTTATCGATGTTCTCAAAGACTAAACGGAGAACCGATTTCTCTGTATAGCTTTATGGGTTATGTCAAATAAATAAAGACTCAAACTTCTAATTCGGGTGCCTTTCTTAGGTGCATGCTTGCATCATATTTGAGCTTGTTAAACCCTGACCCAAAAGACAAACGACCGAAATCCTTATGCCAAGAACGATAAATCTAGATGCTTAAATATGCTAATGACAATAGCAAAATCAAGATTAATCACCTCAATGACTTTCTTTCTCACCATGTTTATCCAAAGTCGAACTTTGGACTTACAAAATCGACATGTAAAACTTCCGATCATCGTGTTTGTTAAACCATTTAATTTCATCAAATGCTCCCTAGTATATGTTTGTGAATAAAAAAACACGAATATTTGGGAGTTCTTCAGCCTCACTAGAGGTAAATGGGAAAGCCTAGTGGTAAATGAGAAAGATTTATACCAATTTTTTATTAAAAATAATTAAATAAAAATTAAAGTTAAAAATTGAAATATTAAAAGATTTTATTATATAGATTAAGTGTACAAAATTTTAAAAATTTTAAAAAATTTTGATATATTTTTTATATAAATATTTTTATTAAAAATTTTGACATAATTTTTACTAATAAATAAATACAGATCAAATTTATATAATAAACTATATTTTTAATATTTTTTTATATTATTAATTTTCTCTTTTAACTCCATCACTTTATCCATTTAAATTTTTTATTAAATTTATTTTAAATCATTTTAATTAAAAAACTTAACGAATTTTATGTAATAAATTTCATCTCAAATTTATCTGAAGGTAAATTAAGAGATTTAGGTGCGAGAAGTTAATATTTCTCGTCTCAATGATAGATAACTATTATAAAAGGAAGGCACAGAGCCTGTACACTTAACCCAGACAACCCTCCAAACAAACCAGCCTACCCTTCTGGAACCCCTTGAACATGAACACGCTCTTCAATGGGGAAATCAGTCCAAAGCCTAAAGGGCCGCTGGGGAGGCACATGGCCCACATAACTACTCTCTATCCTAACCGTTTTCGTCGGCAGTTCAACCACCAACTGTACCACCTCCTTCTCCTCACTGTCCTTGCGGTTGTCCTTGTCACATGCAAACAACTCTTCTCCCTTGGTGTAACGCGAGCAGCGCGTGTGCACCCACACGCCGCACTCATCGCACTTCACCATCTCTTCACCGTCGTGGAAATTGACAACACAAACGCAGTCTACGGTCCATGAACCGTCTCCCCAGTCGTCGTGGGGGTCAGCCCGATGCGTCCGGCCTTTCATGTTTATTATCCTACGCCCTAATCACAACAAATTTAAAAGACCTAACCTAAAAAATCCCAAATTCCTAACCTCCCCAATTCACATTAAATTAAAAGCGTTCTGGCGACGTAAATGGCTTCTTCCTTGCGAACGGTCATCTGAAAGGCAATGAAATAAAAAAACCAGAACTCTGAATTCTTTTGGCGTCCGTTTCTTTCTCCTCTGAGGCCAGGCTTCAAAATATACAAGCCCTTTCTCGATTGCTGGCCGGGGCCCATTAGTCCATGACCCAACGCCACTTTTTCTTTTTTTTTTTTTTGAAAGAATGACCCAGTGTCGCTTAAATGGCTGAAATTATTGTGGTAGTAGTTTTTTTTTTTTTTTTTTTTTTAACTATATGATTAATCGAGTAGTTTGACAATGAAATTTCTTGTTATTAATTATTAAACATAGACCCATTACCAAATTTTAGTTCTTTTATTATATAAGAAGTAATTGAATACTATATAGTTAACTTTTTTCACGTAATATCTTGTGGATTCGCATCATAGGATGACAAGTTCCATTGTCTCGAGGAATTATGTCTTTATTATATATGTTAAAATTATGGAGATATCTTTAAATGTGAACAAATAAAATATTTTTTAATTAAAAAATATTTTACTAATTTTATTGGATGAAATTAATGGTATAACCATTCAAAAAACATGAATAACTTGTCTTGAATATTTTAGAGCCTTTATAATTATATCACTCACAATATAACAAAAATGTTAAATTTTATGAATTCATATGTAATAATCGTAATAATATCCCAATAAGTATTTAATTTAATAATAAATATATTTTTACTTGAAGAATCAAATTCAAGTAAGATTACGATATTTTTCTATTTATGCATACATGTATAATGACAAGATTAACACATAAACCATAGACTTGTTTCACTTGCTATTTATCATTTAGTTAGGATGGACTTTACAATCTAAAAATAAATGGCATTTCCTATATGTTTTGTCCCTTAAATAAATAAAAGTAAAGAAAAAGGAAGTCCTATATGGCTATTTACAAAAAAATAAGTTGTCATTCCTTATTTTACTTTAAATTTACCAAAACGCCCCTCATTGACCGGTCCAGTTGTCCTTAGTTTAAGGACACCAGTACGGAGAGGCAGGTACAGCGGTAAAACCAGCGACGGTAACCCAGTGATGGTAAACAGTAAAAGCTCGTTTTCCAGTAATCACGCGACACGTCATGTTGACGATGATGGTTGTGCCAAACATCGTGTTACATTTATGCATCTGAATGTCATGTCATACATAGACATGTAAGAAAAAGAATGAAAGAATATTATTTTTGATTTTTATGAGGTTTTTACGTTTCAACAAACAATCCAAAATGCTTTTTGATTTAAGCTTAGCGGTTGTGGAAGCCATATTTATTTTTTGTTACTTTTTTAGGGCGATATGAAGCAGATCCTCTTCGGCCTTTCCCTTCTTTTTTTCCTCTCTCAGATAATCACTGTGAAACTGTGGTAGAAACGAAAAAAAGAATTACGGACACTGTAAGAAATTAAAACTCTTGCCTTTTTTTTTTTACTATCTTACTTTGTTTTCTGCTGTTATTTATTTCCGTTTCGTTTTCTCCGTAGTGATCTCGAGGTGGGTTTGTAGTTCTGTTCGTCATCAATGGAGATGATTGTAGCTTTAGCTTAGCTCCCAAAAAGATTCATCATTTTTATATTCCCAACATTTCAAAACTCGATTTTTTATTTTTTTAATTTTTTGATGTTTGGGTTTATAAATCTCAGGCCTTTCTGTTGATCAGCTGATAAGAAAGGGAGCCTTTTTTAGGAATAATCATCAGGCATGGCGGTTGTTGAGAATGCTTCGAATCAAGATGCGGCTGCATCAGCAGTAGCATCAAACGATCAGGATCAATCAAAGCAAAACCATGTTTGGTCAAGAATCGATCCGAGCTTACACCAGAGCGATCAAGGGTTGTACAACAAGATCGGTGGTCCCCATCATCGATCCAACGGTGGGGATTTACAGAGGAGTAATGGTGGTAGTGGAGCTGAAGTTGGGGATAGCTTTAAGAGAGACATGAGAGAGTTGCAAGAACTGTTCTCTAAACTTAACCCCATGGCTGAAGAGTTCGTGCCTCATTCACTTGCTAACCATGGACTCAATGGAGGGTTTTACACTGACGACTCTTTTTTGCATAGCAACAATAACATCTCAAGGAATGGCCATCCTAATGGCAATGGTGCTGGTAGGCGGGTATACCATCAAAAACCCATTTTTTGTTTGTTTGCTTTGTTTACTATTAATTGAAGATTATTAGTCGTTTTGGTGGAAAATTTAGAAGAGAAGAAAATGAAATTGATTTGTTTGGGGGTTTGTTTGGGGTTTGGAGAATGAAGGTTTTCATGTTTCTAAGTACTTTTTTTTTTTTAGCTTTCTGTTTTTGTTATTAACTCGCTGATGCTTGAGTGCATTCTGCATCAGGAAATTGTTGTTTCAATCTTTGCTTTATTGCCTTTCCCTTTGTAGGGCTGGTTCTTGTTTTAGGTTTTATGGGTTTTCAAAAGTTCAGGAGGTAATAAGTAATAACTTAAATGCTGATTTATCTGAGTTTGTGTCATGGTCCCTGCTATCCAGTATTCCAAAGTGGTTTTTAGATGTGCAGTGACTGCATTATTTGTCTGATTTCTCAAAATGCAGAAAAAGAGAAGGAAAAAGAAAAAAGAGAGACTGTGTTCGGGTGTTTAAATGAAACAGGAATAATTGGCACAACCCTGATTATTTCTTTGGTTAAGTTGAGTGGATGTTATTGTTTAGGTACATTTTAAACGATATGAAATTTAAAATTCCAAATATTAGCAAAATTCTATTATACATCATCTCAATTGTGGAAGAGAGCATCATCTAGTCTCGGGGATTCTGTTCATTGATCTTTTCTTTCTCAGAAGAAAATTTTCAGTCAAGGGAAACGGAGATTGAACACCAGGACAAGTATGGCCCAGAGGGAAGAGATCATCCGTAGGACTGTCTATGTGTCTGATATTGACCATCAGGTATCTGTATTAAGCTTTTTCAGCTTTGTTTAGGATGCTGCGATCAATTCTGCAATTTCTGCTTTAACATCTCTTTGATATTTTGATTCATGTAGTCTTTTGATTTTTGGGATGTAGGTCACTGAAGAGCAGCTTGCAGGATTATTTGTGAGTTGTGGGCAGGTTATATTCTTTTGATTGCTTGTCTTAACAGTTTTCATCAAAGCAATGTATCTGAAAGAACTTCTTTCCTATGAAGGTGGTTGACTGCCGCATATGTGGTGATCCTAATTCTGTACTTCGTTTTGCGTTTATTGAGTTTACCGATGAAGGTGATGTTCAACCACGGTTATTTGATGCATAGTTTAAGGGATTGTCAATTTAACTGTAAAATGTAATATTTACATGTTTTACTGCTTGATGGCTTGGCTGTGCAGAAGGTGCACGAACTGCTCTGAATCTGTCTGGTACTATGCTTGGATTCTACCCAGTTAGGGTGCTGCCTTCAAAAACAGCTATTGCACCAGTTAACCCAACATTTTTGCCAAGGGTAAGAATCTTTATTGCAATTTATTGTACTCGTACTTGTTTATAATTTGAAGTCTTTGATGTATTTTTCATTCTCTTCACCTATTCAGCCTGTTAAACATTTGTTATTTCAATTTCAGACTGAAGATGAACGCCAGATGTGTGCAAGAACTATCTACTGTACAAACATTGACAAGAAGGTGAGAAGAGTTTTGCTTTTTGGAATGTTGGTTATGAATAATGACCCTGTTTGCAAATAAAGGACTGTTTACATTTTTATATGATTTTACACTCGCAGGTTACTCAGGCTGATGTTAAACTCTTTTTTGAAACAATCTGTGGGGAGGTTTGCTATTCCATTTAACTCTAGAGTTCTGTTTTTTCTGTTTATTACATCAAAACCTGTGTGGGGATGCATTTAAAGAGACATCTTGTCTGCTGTAGGTTTATCGCCTGAGGTTGCTGGGGGACTATCACCATTCAACTCGCATTGCTTTTGTCGAGTTTGTAATGGTAATTGTTTCTTCTTCATTCATGAAATTTTTTGAACATGGCTGAACAAGTTTTCTGTGGTTTCTAAAGGGTTTGATGAGTAAATGAGGGCTTTTTACATCTTCACATGACCTTGCTTTTAGATCCTAAATATTTAGGCTTAGCCAGTGAGTATGAAGTTTATACTAACTCTAGAATGTTGGGTTTTGTGATCCTTTTCTAGCTAACATGTTGTAAGAAAGTTAGGGAGCATTTGGTAGGAAGGAGGGGGAAACAAGATAAGGAGAAGGCAAGGTAGTTAAATGAAGCTAAAGACTCTTCCACTGATTTGCATTCTGGAGAATGACCAAACAGGTCATCTTTTCCCCTTATCTTAGGAAAAGTCCTTGTTATACTTCACAGAAGAAAGTTTTAGCAATTTTTTGTGGTTTTTTCTGACATCTATTCCTGAAGTCTTTCCTAAAACTAAAAGAAAGTTGAGGGCTTTTATAATTTTCAATGGAGATATTGAGGGCAGGTGTATTGGAGCAGCTTTTCTTTTCAAATTCACATTGGAGTTGCTTGAGGAATTAGCAACAATCACTTCAACCAAATTGATATGTTAGCATGTTATCAACAAACTTCTCTCAAATGGTTTTTTGAAATATAACATGCAATTCACCAACTATGACAGGTTTATTGCATCAATTTAGCATTTCATCCACTAGTAGTCTGCTTGTCTTGAGTAGGAAATTAAATCTGCATTGCATTAGAACTACTGGGCGTGGTCTCTTGGAGTACCTGACTTTCTAATTTGCTAAGAGAACAGTGTTACCATGGAAACCTGCATTAACTCTTACTTTGAGGTCTGTAGAAGATATGGTCCTCTGTTTCCTCCTTTTTTCCTTTTCCATCCTCTCTCTACATTACCCATTGCTTGCTTCTTATCAGTAGGTGACAAAAATAAAATGAAAACCTATCTATTCGAGCTATTTTTTGATAGATGCAAATCTGCTCATTGGTAGTAGACATTGTATTTACATTTGAAATCAAGTGTATCACATCTTATTGTTTTCTAGGGAAATTTATTCAAGTATGATCCTATTTGGCATACGTAGCAATGAACCTGCCTTATTGAATCTTTCTTGTGAGTAAAGATGTTATGTTGTCCCTCCTTTTTATGTAATACAGTGAAGCCAAGTAGCTGGGTTAATTGTTGCCCATGATGCTTGTTCCTTTCAAGTTGATTTTCCATGTCAGTGTTCTGTCTATTAAGGGTGAACTTTTGTCTAAATTCATCTTCAGCAGATCCTTTATACTGTCTGGGTTATGTCTTTTAGGGCCTCACAAACATTTTAAATGTTGGTTATGGATCTCTTGCCATAAAAATCCTTGGATAAAGGCCTTATTAAATCTTTGGCTAGCTATAGCACAATGACATGTTACTTTTCTGTTTTAACATGGGGTTAGATTGTGTGTCATATGCACCTGAAACTTGCTTATCAATTATTATAGTCTTTCTGGTGCTTCCTTGACTAGTGATGATGCAAAGATTGGCCTCGAGCTTTTGCTTTAGTTTGTGCAGATTAAAGCCCAGAGGGTTGGCCAAAAAAATAGAAGCAATTGCAGTTATGCTTGTTAGCATAACAAAATCTTTTGTTTGTAACTATGGAGTGGTTATTTGCTACATACTGTAACTTGCACGGATATGCTAAAAAATACTTTCGATCAACAAATGATATGTGTTTGTTACTGTCAAAGGAATTGTTTAAAGTGGTTTTGGATTGGGAATTATTTCTTCTTTGTGATATTGTGAATTATTTCTTGATTGTCTGCCTCTCTTTGGTTAGTGAACTTACATTGGCTTATCGGAGATGTTATCCAAGTTTCAAGCGAATATAAAGTTTGCAAAGTGATATGCAGTTCCTTTTTCATCATTTCAAGATTGGATTGCTTCAGTGTTTGTTCATTCATGAAGTTCTAATTTTCTCTTATATGCAGGCTGAAAGTGCGATTGCTGCCCTCAACTGTAGTGGTGTTATTCTGGGCTCATTGCCTATAAGGTCAGATTCCTAATTTTCCATCATTTCTCAAAATGATATTTTGTTTTGGTTTTTTCTTTTTGGCCATAATTTCTTTCCAAAGATTGATTAAGTATTTATGACGATTGTCCACGAGTCAACCTTGGTTATTTTGTATGATCAGGGTAAGCCCATCAAAGACCCCGGTTAGGCCACGTGCTCCCCGCCTTCCGCAGCACTGAATCATGTTGGCGCTCCGAACTGATCTTAGTTCCAGTTTATATATATTTAAAATACATACACACACCCATGTAAAGATGTTTCCCATGTTGGTGGTCTGCCTGTTTTATGTATATTGTCCTCTGCTGCTATGCTTGGGATCATTGTTACCATACAAGTCATCTTTTGTTTATCCTTGCAATTGGATCCAAGTGACTTGCGAACCAGAGGTGGTCGTGTCTGGCCACGTCCAATGTATGCAGAAGGCATCTAAGTGATTTCCTGTCAACTAGCAGTTGAAATGCCTCATTTATCTCTTCTCAAAAAAAAAAAAAAAAAGCTTCATTTATCTTCTCGAAGGGAAGCTCATTGACGATGAACTCGTCCAAATATAGGGTCTGGAATCAAATTCCAAAACGATCAGTTGCCTTGGACTCAAAAGCTCAGCTATATATAAAGTAACACCGTCTGATAATACATGCATTGTCCGGCAAACCCTGGTAATAAAGTTTTTTCTTTGAAACCTCCAAAAATCGATAGTATATTACCTACAATTAACATAGTCTTATATGCAACCAGAGGCAGAGAGTAACAGAACTAAAATTTTATCAAAGATTAACAAACTTCTAACAACTGTTATTAAATTATATTAGAAGTACTCAAAATCAACATTATATCAAACACTGATGGGTTTGAAGGCTGGGGGCCAAATCCGACAAGTTAGACTATAAGCCATAACCAAGCCTGACTCATTAGATAATTTCTCCGAGCTTATAATGGACGTCAAGATTCTACTGCTTAGCATTTAACAGAAGTAATTGCATATGCAACAGAAGAATTTACTTCGTGAGACAAAATGCTTAAACATTTTAATTCAAGTGATGCAATTTTTCAAGTGGACAAATGTTCTCTTTTCATCCAATGAACAAATTTCCAATTTCCAAATCACTCAAAGAAAACTACCAAGTATTTGTCAAGTGAAAATAACAATATATCCTCTCTTTGTTTTTTTTTTTTTTTCTTGCAAAAGTAACAATATTTTATACGAGGATTGATGACGAAATTATATGTAATGGGCTAATGGCAAATTGGCAACCCCATCATGATTGAGATTAAGAGAACTTACCTATTATTAACATGAAAGTACTTCCAAGTCCAGTTCAATTTTCAACCTTCAACTATCATAAAGTCGAGAAACTCATGTTGAGAGTTTAGTCAAAGGCGAGGGCTGCCAGCCAGAGGCAGAGACGTGCTTTCGCGCTGTACATCTGCACCAAATATGAGATAATTTACGAAAATAAACTTACTATGCTTGTACCAAATATCAATAGTCCTGTTCCAAATGCTATAAATTACTCCATGTCCCCACCAATTATGAGGAAACCAAATTGATTTTGCCAGGCTCAACCCCAAAAGCTTTAGGATGGTTCTAAATTCAGACCAATATGTGGGGAAGAAAATGCTCACAACTAGACTACCTACAAAAATATGTACCCAAAAAATGCGTCATTAGAATAGTGGAAAAGATCCTGAGGCAAGCCCCTTCAACACCCTGATTTGTTCGGAAGAGTATTTTTCCTGTAGAATTGTTCTAATGGAGTTCTGATACACGAGAATAAATTTTTAAGCCCAACTTTTCAAGATTTTTCAACAAAATGGATATTGTCCCAAATTAACAAATTCAATTATCTCTATACAAAAAATCAAGTAGAGTTTTATCTTATCCTGTTGAATCTGTCATAGCATTTTGATATTAGATTATTAATTTGAATATTTGAGTTTATGCCTAGCCTTAAGTTCTAAATATCTAAAAAAACTTAAGTTCTCGTGGAGAACACAAAAAAGAAAAGAGATGGAAATATTCAAGTTTTTGGTGTTGGTCTGACAGTCTTATAAAATATTACTAGATCCTCTTCAATATTCAGGTATGCGTTAAATTCATATATGTTTAATGTTCTAAATACCCAACATATGAAATATTGGGATCAAACGTTATGCTTACGCGTTGCTCTCGCTGTTATGTCTTCAATTAATTGCAGATGCATTTCCTTGGATCAACTCCGTTTGGGGTTTACTTTGTCTCCTACTCCTGTTTGTCCCTAGCTTTTTCATCAACCACTTTTTGACAATGAACAAAAAGAACTATAAAAGAAAAAAAAAAATCATAATAAGTTGGTGGTTTGTATCGACCAAAGGTTGCTAATAATTAGAAACCTAACAAGATTGTGGCCAAATTGCAATTAGCCAATGCACCAAAACACCATATAGAACTAGTGGAGTGCGATATATAGAGCGACCAACGGCACTTCCCAGGGAATCCGCGGTCTCCCACTATCCTTTGTTCCCTCCTAAAATTTTTCCATTATGTTTTTGTCTCTTCTGAAGCTTCTTAGTCATTTCCAGATTTTAATTTGCAGTGAAGGCCATCAATTGCATTTATACACTGATCAAAAGGTTTTTATGCAATCCTGCTGTTTTCGTTGGGCTGTTGAAAGTTGATAATGTTATAATGAGCCCTACAAATTGGATGCGATTCTGTCTCTTTCACATATTTTACTTTAGTTCCAAAGCTGTCAAGTTAAGCCTAAGGGACGAAATTTTTGTAAAGAGAAAGTAATAAAGAAGCTTGAATGGACTGGTCTTGTTCATTGACCATGTCTTTTTGCCTCCCTGTAAATGTTTAGGTGGGCCATTTCCCATTTAGATGCCAAATCTCTATCCAAATTGATCTTTAGGATTCTCGGGCTACATGGGTCCCAGGATCAAGGAGTTGGCCGAACTGCTCCTTTTCTTCCTAGGAGCTGCTAGTGATGTGATGAGGGATGGTTCAATGCCCATGTTACTATACCAATTACTGATTAAAAAAATCTCTCTTTCCGTGTGGACCTCTCATTAATAAACTTCTGATGTGGATTAGTAAGAACAATGCACGTACTTTAGTTTCCCTTTTCTTTATGCTTTTTTGGGATTTGTATTACCAGCGGTTGGATCGAGGAAGCTCTGAAGAAGAATCCCACCGACGATATATTCTCCTTCGCTCCAGATCTTTCCCGCCCTTTAATACTCCTCCGTTCTACAATTACAAGGACGAGGAGAAGACAAAAGAAAAAACTATAGTACGTTGGGTTTTTTAGATTGTTGTATGACAAGATGGGGAACTGCCTGTTCGGAGGCTTGGGAGAAGCTGATGGAGTGATCAAAGTCGTAACTTCAAACGGTGGAGTCATGGAGTTTTCTGCTCCAATAACAGCAGGAAGTATCACAGATGAATTCCCAGGTCATGCTATTTTTCGAACGCATGATCTCTTCTGGAAACCACTATTTTACCATGAAGAACTCCTCCCTGGAAAATCGTATTATCTACTTCCACTTAACAGCGAAGACAGTACTTCAGGTAATAGAGGCCAGATTGTTCGAAAAGGCCATGTCAGGTCCAACAGCATCCCGGCATCGCTCATTGCTCCTTACAGGATGTCCTGTGATTATCAGGGGATTCTGAAGAGGTCCCATACTGATATTTTCTCCAGGCACAACAGGCCTGGATTTTGGAAAGTGAAGCTAGTGATCAGCCCGGAACAGCTGTTGGAAATTTTGTCACAAGAAGCTCGTACTCAAGAACTGATTGAGAGTGTTAGGGCTGTCGCCAAATGCGGAAATGGGGTCTCAACATCCGTTGGATTCTCAGATCAATGGAGTCTGTCAAGCAGTAGGAATGCTTCCTCAAACAAAGATGGGTTGTTATTAGACATCTAGAATTACCGCCTCTTACCATTTTTCCCCATTTTAGTTTTCTTGTTTCTACATTAGACCATTTGCAAACAATTGAAATGGTAGCATGAGCAAGTCATTTTGTATATACATATATATATATATATATATATGTATTGATCTTGTCATCTGTTTAATGTCAGATTTGTGTAGACATCAATACCAAATTCTAGCTATTATAAGTAGCCATTTGGTCCTAAACGGAAATTACTGCTTCAAAATCCTTTTTCTTTGTAATGCCTAATATCAGTCTAAATTTAAACGTTTCAAGAGGTATCAACTACGAAATCAGCATTTTGATAAAATAAAGCTGCGACAAACGTTGAAATCGAAGCTCCCACTTTTAACCTTAAAATCATACTATAAATATAAGAGAATGTGTTTTTTTTTTTTTTTTTTTGTATTTTTTCAGTTTTAACTAGAGGATGTGCCACCCGTCTTACTTGTTATCATCTTATCACATTGGTTAATTCTTTTAGTATATTCTATGATTTTTATTTTTTGTTCAAAATTAAAAACATATCACGAACTTTGAACATTCAAATGGAATTCATAGTTTTATAGAACGAAAATTGCTAAAAAAAATTACTACAATTAATATTTGCCTCCTTAGAAATTAAAAAGAAAAAAGAATATTTGTAATACGTAGTGGGTGCAGTCTATATTGCTATAGCAGTTAAAATTAGTTGAAAGAAAAAACTATATTAAACGAAAAAATGTTATGGCATGGACAAAATCCCATGAGATAGGTCCATTTGAATGTTGATGTTGGACCTGGTTGAAGCTCGAAGCCAAGATGGACCATGGTACTTAGACAGTCAGATTTCGAGAACGGTCAATTGGGCCGCTTGGTTCGTCGGCCTTTGCACAAGAAATCAGCAAACTACAAAATGCCGACCCAAGCTGTTGAACCGATAAATGCCTAAATGGAAATGGAGTAAAGACTTTTCATATATTTTAATTTCATAACATTAGTAGTAATTAAAACCAAATCTAATATAATTGATTTAGATTTAAAAGTCAAACCGTACAAGTTCTTATTCATAAAAACGATATCTTAAATTTTACAAAATATTGTTTATTTCTTATATTTAAAGGCATTGTTTACATTTTCGTTCTTTTGAAAAGTGAAAAGTAAAAGAACTAAATTGAGTGTAAGATAGATACACGAAACTTACTTTAAAGTTGTCACTTTCCTAATTACTTTGACAATAGCATGTTCTTCGTGTCACACTGAGCAACAAAAATTAATTAACTTCTATTAGCATTCATTTTAAGTTTTTCTCATAAAATAGGCAAGAAATTTTGTATAATTACAAAAAAAAAAAAAAAAACAGTGCTACAAGTGATGCATTCACATATTTTTTTTTAAGTGAAAAATATTAAAACCTTTATGAACTATAAAAGAATTTCGAAAACTTTTTATTTTTTGTGAATGTATGAAATGCATATATTAAATGAGTGATTTGAAAAGAACAGACTTTCGAAAACTTATATTTTATATAGTCTTTTCCTGTCAGAAAACTTTGACAAAAAAAAAAAAAAGATTCTTTTCTTTTTTTCCACTCTAGAAATTAAGGTCTTAGTTATGATTGAGTGATGATTACAGTGATTCCTGAAGTTGAACTTGACAAACATTATTGGGTGCATAATTTCCACACCTGTT